GGATCCTATAAAATAAGGTCATTGAAGAGAATTCTTAAACCGAAACCTAAGAGATAGTAAATTGAGTTTCCCACCTGACATTAAGAGCAGCTCCTCTGGAGATCAACAGACTCACTACTTCCACTCTCCCATTGGTGACTGCATCATGCAGAGGTGTATCATGATCAAACCCTCCAGGAGTGTTAATCATTGCACCATGTTCCAACAGAAGTTCAGTGATGGTAAGATAGCCATGGTTACAGGCTTCATGCTGAAGAATAAAATAAAATGCAGGATTTCAAGGTCAGAGATACAACTTAAGGAATAATTGATATCAAGATGAAAATCACTATTTGGACAGAGTGTTTCTGTTCTGTAAATATAGGTCACCTAAGATTGGAAGAACAATGAAACAGGTAAGATTTGCCATATTATAGTCAGGAATGTAACTCACCAGAGGAGTCCAGCCAGCATGATCTTTGGTGTTAGGATTTGCTCCTCCTGCAAGTAACTTTCTCACGGTTTCCACACAGCCCTATGAAGGTGATAATATTAGATAAGAAAAGTTACTAGACATGATCATCAGAGATATGTTATGCATGACAAAAGAAAAAGAAAACTGTATATGACAATAAGGGCTACATGTAAAGGAGCAAGGATGGTAAAGTGAAAGAATGTACTTGGTTTCCACCATTGTGGCAGAGATTCAATATCCCAAACCTAACATTACTTGTGGGTTTAGTTAACTGATGGTTCTCATTTTTGGTTTAAGATTTGTTCTCCGAGTTTCCTTCCTCCACAAAAACCAAATCTCCAATTTTTTTTTAATCAGAAATCTGTTTTATCACAGTGTACCTTAATGGCAGCCACATGAAGAGGTGTTTCTCCACGTTTATTTCTCTTGACTTCAGGGGGACAGAGAATACAATTCTTTGGGCTGCTTAAAGTCTGCTCTGACATTTTTCTTTTCCTATTTCCTGCCAGAGATAAATTCATGAACAATGTAAAGTGAATAAGAGAAATAATTCATGACATTTTTATAGGAGCTACAGCATATGCTTAAACATGGAGAAGTTTTCAAGGAATAACAGATTGGTAATATTTTTAAAAATGGTCAACTCCTTCATCAAGTGTAAACAATCATTAAATTTTTACAGCAGCTGTATTAGCATATTTTAATCTAACCTTGGGACTTCAAAGGAGTTTCTTTGGTATCCTCTGTCTTTTTCTTTTTCATAAGCACCTGCTCATTGTGGATTCTTTCATTTGTAAGATTTTTTTGCAGCTCATTCTGAGGCAGGGTCCAAAGTGAAGAACTCTGTGGTGTTCCTCTCAAGTTCCTTTTTTGAGCCCTTGTCCTTGGAGTGCTTTCTACAGCTTTAGGACTCCCTTTATGTGAAGGTCCCTTATTTTGCATCATAACTGAGCCATCAGAAGTAAGTGGACCTTTTGATCTTAGCCTTGTAAAACATCCTGTGTCAGGGTTCTCTTTGTCTTTTTCTTTATCAGTATTGTTTCCCCCCTCATCTGTAACTTCAAACTGTTCAGTGACAATATTTTCTGTTAACACGTGATCAGTCTGTCCTTTATTTTCATGAACATCATTTTCTGTGACAACTGGACATGTTTTCTTTATTAATCTTGTTTTCTTTAAATGTTTTCCAAAACATTTTTTCTTTGCTTGTGTTCTTATCTCATCTTTTGAACTACCTGACAATGAAGTTTCAACAATTTCTTTGAATCCCTGTCCACTTGCGAGGATCTCATTTGCAGGACATGTTTCACTGTCCTGTTCATCAAGCTCCCTGCAGAGACCTTGTTTTGTAATTTCTTTCCCATTATTATCCCTTTTTGCTGCAGTGTTCGTCTGTGTTTTCCTGCTGAGATTCTTTGTCTGAGTGGGTTCCTTAGATTGTTTCTTGTTGTTACATGATATTTCCTGCAGGGCAACATCACATTTGTTTGTTACCTTAGCAGGGATGACAATTTCAGGTGTTGAGAATTGATAAGAATCAGCTTCTTGATCAAACACTGACTGTGTTTCCTCCCAAATTGTTTTAGTTTCTGGGAAAAGAAGTAATAAAAAAACAATACACTTATTTTATCATCATCATTATCATTATCATTACATTTATCCTCATCAGCATTGTCATTATCATTTAATTCTCATGCTGTTAAAAAAAGTAATGAAGGATTATTAATATGAGCTTGTTCATCCATTAAAAATAAAGTGTTGTAAAGAATTTGTCCCTTACAACAATTTAAACCTCAGATCCTTTGATTTTGGAGATGGATGCTGTATATTTGAGTTACAGAGCAATGTGTGAAGATGGTACATATAGCTAGAATCAGCAGAATTTAATAAAAAGCATTGTGAGTGTAATAATAGAAATGATGAATTTTTTTTAATGCAATTGACAATAATATCGCAATCTGATTGGCCAAGTTGTCATTGTGGATAAGAGTACAAACAACCCTGCTTGCTTTAACATGTCAGGTAATGGTGACACACTGAAAGAATCATTTTATTTGACACCAATATTGTGCTAAATTAACAAATCCACAGTGGTTTAGCATGGACTCAGTGTACTCTTATCAACATCAATATTCATCATCACAATGGTCAAAATGTTTTTGACTCGTGAGGCACAGCCAAGTGAGTCTGCAACAAATAATAATAGTACAAATAACAAATAAGAGTACAAACCACACAAAAGCACTGTCAATTTGTTAAAGTTTGGTTGTCAAAAGAAGAAAGATGTCCATCATTCAGCAGTAATTATCACCTGGTTTGTTATTCAAGTCTGAGATGCATTTGACATTGTTATCATCATCACCACTACTACTCTTATCATGATCATCTGATCCAACAAGCTTTCTTATCTTTGTACACATGCTGACAGTGTTGGCAAGTTGACGGTTGGTTTTCAAGTTCTTCACCCAAGCAAATGCTCCACATTCTGGGCATTTTGAATCAGCCCCAACCAATTTTTCTACACAGTTACTGCAAAAAATGGATAAATCATTAGAACAATTTGGAGTCAGATAACTGCGGCAGTTCCTGAGAAGGAGTTAAAGGGTTCAGACCTAGGGTTCATATACTTTTTCAGAAACAAATTTCAAGAACTTTTCCAGGACTCAGATTGATTTTTCAAGGACTCCAAACTTCACCTTAAACCCTCTTGTTGCTAAGATTTCAAAATCAACTCTCCTTATGGTCTACATACATTTCTTACAATGTATATTCTGAAAACTTTATTGCTTGAGTTAAGCAGATTTCCAGGACTTTTCAGGACCTGTGGTCTTTTTCCAGGACTTTCCAGTCCTGGAAAATGTCAAAATAAATTTCCAGGACTTTCCAGGTTTTCCAGGACCTTTACAATCCCTGTAGACTGAAAACAGGCACTAGGTATGGAGGGCATTAATATCCCCTGTAGCAAACAACTTTCACCCAGGTTTAATTTTGTGGATTCATGGTTATTTGTTGTCCAATGTGACTAAAAATACTATTGTGAACCATTTTTTAAAGTTCCCCTTATAGCTACAGAACAATGTCAAGGAAGGAAACTTCACATTTTTACTTGAGGCACAATCCCTCTAAAAAGTAAGTTCCATAAATATCGGTTTAGTTAATTGAGATGTTTAGTGGTACTGGTTTGAGCTCATCAAAACATTATCTCAAAAATCGTCATAGACGTTTTGAAACGCGTTTTCGTTGGAATTTTTGAGAATACTTACCTGAACCACAGGACACATTCATACTACACAAGCTACATTCATGCGTACATGATACAATTGATTCAGCTGTTTAGTGCATTTATGTCCAAGATAACCTTAACACAACTCTCCGCTCATATAATACAATCATTCACATACGTACCGACAGAAAATGTGATCACAAGCTTCAAGAGAACAAGGATCAGACACAAGATTGGTACTAATAGAAAGATAAAAGTGAAATAAGCATAAAACATGTAACGAAGGCATTCCTGTTATGGAACTGCAGAAGACAATCGCGGTGTTCCGAGAAATACATACCAAACTTTGCATGTTAACAATTCTTCCAGCTTTCCTAAGGCACTCCTCGTGTTTTCCCATCCGATCATCTCTCAAATCTTTCTCAAAAACCCAGACAAAACCTTTATGATAACCCGAAACAAGCGAAAACCTACCCTTCGCTGTTTTTCGTTATACGAACTTCCCGCGTTTTGCATCTTGCTTAGTGACCGGGTCTTCACTTGACTTCGTAACCAAGCCAATATGGCGGACGATCTGTACCTCCTCACATTTTCCAGATATTTTCCATCCATTTAGTACAAAAAATATAAACGTTTATGCCATGCCCCGAGTCAGTAGATATTTTATACTCGTAATCGACACCAGCAGGTGTATTTCGAATGCAAGACTTTTTACAACATGTAGTAAACGAGGAGGTACCTTCACATGTGGTCATATGATAAATTCTGGCAAATATTTTCCGCCAAAACGTCCATTTCCGGCAGCTTTACAGTGTTCAAAATTATCACAAGACAGCCGACTAACAAGAATAAGAAAAACTCTACCTGATGAAATATGGTCAATTATCATTGTGGGTAAGACTATCGCGTTTAAAAGCAATAGGTGTTTGCAATATATGATATAGTTAAAACTTTCAATTGGAAAAATAGCAGTATCTACTGCATACTACTTTCAACAAGGGCGTATTGCCAAGGGTAATCTTTTGTTTTCTATTGTTTTCTTAATCCAAATACTACATGCATGATGAACTATGGGGATTATATCTGTATGTAATATCTTTTAATTTTAAAATGCGTCAACAAAGTTTAAGTACTGTCTTCCTTTGGGTTATGACAATGCGTTCAAAGCTCAGAAAAGTAAAACTAAGAGTTACTGAGCCACAGCATGCCTAAATGTCATGAAAGTGCTTCTCTAAGTTTTTCAGATCTCTTTGGTGACCTAGGCAGAATATTAGCCTAAGATCTTCCCATGTTATTTACCAGATGGACTTCCCAGAGGTTTTATTACATGTTGATCATCAAATCATACATTTGTTATTATCAACATTATAATTATCAACAGTATTTTTAATATCACCATCATCATCCTGCCTCACCATACCATTGTTATCCTCATTATTTGAATTTTCATGCAAGGCAGTACATGCAAGACTTGTCACTGGTCTCATACTGAACAGATGTTTCTTACCAAGATTACAGTCTTCAAATGTGCTAGAACTTAAGTAGCATAGTTCTGATCTTATTTTTAAAATGCTATACAAATATTTTGAATTAGAATTACTTACTATGGGCTAAGAAGAGTTTCTGATTGAAAATTACTTCCAACTGCTTCAGTTTTTATTTTCCTCATCTAAGGGATCATGGTAATGTATAAAGAACAGAGGAATCTAGTTTGAAATTATTTCAAATTGAATTTCACTTTTAACTGAAACATATATTAGGTGTTGTGGAAGCAAATTTTGAGATCAATGTTTGTTATTACAGCACTGGGTGGTGTTCTTGTATTTACATATACACAATATGAAAAAGTTCTGTATGGCAAAAGGAGCCCCCCAAGCTTGCAAAACAAGTTAAAGATGGCTAAGGTAAGAAAACATAGGACTCTGAATATGAATATTAACTCTTGAAAGATGTTAGTTTGACTTCCTGCAATTTTGACCCTGGCTGCTGGGGTAAATTGGTAGGGTGCTGGAAAACTGATTAGGAGTTTGAAGGTGAAATTCCACACTGAATTAAAATTTAATTCCTAATACTTGCAATCCATATATCTAAATGTCAATTCTCTTTTTTGTAATTTTAACCCTTTAACTCCCAACATCTTATTAGCAATTCTCCTTACTGTCTGCCATACAGTTCTTGTGATGTTAGTTTGGAGAATTTGTATTGTATCAACTAATAATCCTCTTATTGGTATTTTTTGTTTTTCTCATCACTTTTCTGCCTTATATTGTCTTGGAATTGTAAGGAGAAATTCTGTTTTGGTCACTTATAGGATTTAAAGGGTTAAAAGATTTGGCATTGAGAATTTGGTTTTAACCTTTTCACTCCTAAGATCCTAACTGTCTGTCGAACAATTCTAATGATGTTAGTGTTGAGAATTTGGTATCAGATTAGCTGATAATCTCATAATTGATATTTTTTTATTCTCATCACTTGACTGCTCGATATGGTATTGATACTATAAGGGGAAATTCTCTCTTAGTCACTCATGAGTGTTGAAGGGTTAAATTACAAAACATCCCCCTATTTGATACTCCTTTGTCCTCTCATCCCTCAACTGTGCGATATAGTAATGAAACTGTAAAGAGAAATTCCTTTTTCACTGTCTTGTTCTGTACCATTAGGCTGGCAGAAAGTTTTCTCACCGAACTAAAGACTAATATATTGATCAAGAAGAGCTAAATGACCCAAAATACTGGAATCTTTTCATCCTTTGTATACCCAACATACTTATAAACAATTTTTATTCTAATAGAAAAAAGCTTTAGATGGAGACAAAACACAGTCAATCATATTGCTGAAGGAGGCTCTTGATCTTATACATGATTATCTTAAAGAAATTAAACAAGATTCAGGTGAAGAACTTCATCTGGATGACAAGGATACAATAAAAGTGCAAAAGTACCTCACTTATGTACTGGAACAGGTAAGAACAAGAAGGTTTTTAAATCTGAATCAAACGTTGAAAGTATCCTATTTTTAAAAGGCAATAAATTTCTAAACAACCTCTGGTGCTGTGTCAGTGGGACATATTACAAGATAATTTGGTCCTATCAACGGAAAATTGGCCACTATAAAGAGATTCCAAAGTTGACATTTTGAATGTTACTGGTAACCACTCCATCTTTTGTTAACACTCAAAACATCAGCTTTAAAAACTCTTTACAGAGGCCAGTTTGCATTTTAAACTCAGTTGAGAAAACCAAATTGTCCTATTTTCTATTGAGCCAAGTTGCATGTATTTCGAACTCTATATAACTTTATTCATGTGTTTGTCTCTACTTGCAGCTGGCAAATCTCACATTTGAGCTTCAGAGATGGAATGAGGTAACATATGCCATTGCATTTATTGAGCATGTTGTTTTTGAAACCTGACAGAAACATAGTTTAACCCTTTAACTTCCAAGATCTGGTTGTTAATTCTCCCCTCTAGCTGCTACGCATTTCCTTGTAAACTAGTTAGGAGAATCTAAAGTTTGATTGAGTTAATATCTTGCACCTGATGAGTTTGAGTATTCTCACTACCTGTTTGCTGGACGATGTATGGATGAACAGATTTTGAGCTTGTAGCTATAAGAAGCATTCATAATGATGTTCTTTCAAACCATTGATTTTCTTCAATCTTGATTCAGGCAGAGCATTATTTCCGCCTCTTACTAAGAGACTTGTTGTCACAGGAAACTCCTAAGGTGAGTGGCAATTAAATCTTTAGTGTTGCAAATCATTAAATGCGTAACAAATTATATCTCAATAATTATGGCAGGAACATCTGTAAAGGCCAACTAGGGGAAGTATTTATCGGCCATGGTAAAGATGTTTGTCATCGTTTTAACAGCTGTGAAATTAATTCTCTGGCAGAGTTGGTATCTGTCAAAGACAGAGACAATCTCAGGCAAAACTTTTAAGTAGAGACATTTAATGCAAGATTAGTAGAATATTTCTGTTGCTTTTTTGGTAACCTCACACATATACAATGTTTAGGTGTGAAGAAGCATTAGGAGAACTGATAGTTTCACAAATACTGTTATTACTGGGCTTTAGCGGTGATGGTCAACAGTTTAATAAAAGGCATGTTAAAGAAAGATGGTTTGTAGTCAGGTCACAAATGTGGGACAGAGAAAACAAAGTCCTAGTCTCCTTCCAGTTCCTAATTTCTGAGTTTCAATTTCTTGTGGGGATTCAGAATTTTTTCTTTATCCCAAGCTCTTGATCCGACAAAAAACATACTTTCTCATTCCATTACAAAGCTTCAAGTGTGCCATCTTTCCTATTCTAAAAAAAAGTGGTGCTGCAACATTATTGGGTGCTCTGTTTCTTTGTATCAAAGGATGATGATAGTGTCATTGAGGTGTCACTGAAGCTGGCTCTTGCATGTGCTCATCAAGACAAGTGAGTAAAGTCAGATAGAGAAAAGTAAATTACTTAAAATGTTGTTGTTATTTGGGGCAGGCTACCTGGTGAGCTGTTTACCAACTAAAACAGACGGATTGGTTTCAGTACCAGAGAGATTTGCCATCTCTGTCAAGCAAAATTGGCCCCCATTTTGTCTGAAACTAAAAACATTGGAGTAAAAAATTTCATTAACTGCCTACTTTGCAGTTTTTGCTGTGTACTTCAAATTTATTGAAACCCAAGACGCTTTGTATTCATTGAGACTGTTTTGCAATACTTTTCAACAGACTCTTTCTTATTTTACAGGCATGCTCTAGCCACACAAGGTTTCCAGTGGGCTACCAGTACAATACAAAAGAAAGTGGATGAGCTACCAGCTACAACAGACAATAGGTTGGTAATTATAATCATGTTGCAATTGAAAAATGGTTTGCTCTACCAGTATCATTATTGTTATTATTTTCAGCTTCTTTACTTATTCCCATACCTTGAGCACAGGCAGACCACGCTATGTGTTCGTGGTTAATGATTGTTGACATGAGACAAACAAAATCTATGAGGGTTATAAATAAAGCTCTGAAAATTGCAGACCTAAATTACATCTTGGTCTGAATATCTTAATAACGTTAAATAGAATGTTAATCAACTCATTTGTGGTATTTTTTGCCTTCATGGGCCGTTTTAAGTGTCTTTGTATGAAATTACTTTTTGAGGAAGAGAAGGTCGCGGCTGGCGGCCACCAAGTTGCAAGCCTTGCCTCCCTTTCCAAAAGTAATTTCGTTAAAATATTTTGTTCGTCTCATGTCAACAATTATTAACCACGTAGACAAAGCGTGGTGTGCCTGTGGCTTGAGTGCCTAGATAAGGTTACGAAACAAGAACTTTACAATTTATTCCGCTCTTATCTGGCTTATTTAGTGCGTGTCTTTTGTTTCAGTAAGGCACTGTTAGGTGTGTGTCTAGAAGGTTGGGGCACTTATCTACTGGCTCACGATAAGCCCGCACAAGCAGCCCAACTGTTATCAAAAGCCTTGAATATTTCCAAGGAGGTGTTGGGAGAAGACCATGAACAGGTAGGAACAGTACATTGGGGAACAGAACATTGTGTCTTTGGGAAACCGTCTGACAATAGTCCTTAGAGCAAATAAATGACAATATTTCTCGGAGGGATTCAACATGGAGTGAAATATTTTTAGGTATGCCTCATTTGGAATTACCACCCTCTTGTTGTTTTCAATTCCCTTAGGTTTAATCAATATTCCCTGTCCATACCAAGACAGACGCTATCTAGGTTTAGTCAGTATATAAAGCAGTGGACAGCGTTGAAGGCGCGCTCTGATTGGCTCCTCAAACACTTCAAATCCCCTGCTATTCGCCTCTGAGCAACTCGTGAGTTCCGCATTGCCGGAACAAATTAGTTTAACTCATCTTTTTGTGCTAATATATCTCACTGGTTTAGTATTAGTTAAACAACTTTTCTTCTCAGTGTTAGTGGCTGGTGGTGGATATCCACCTCGCCGCTTTGTGGCTCGGTAAATAACTGTCACCAGCCACCTTCACTTGGGTGAATAGTTGTTAGTTATACCTAGCATTATTTTTTCGGTCTTGGTAAATGTATGTGTATTTTTTATTTATTTATTATTATTTTTTTTAGCTTTTCAATTAATTATTTTTCATGTTGATGCAAACCCTACGATTGATTTTGATTTTTGTTCCATTAAGACGACAGTGATCCTTAACAACCTTGCAAAAGCCCACGCGGAAAGTGGCAACTATGAACACGCAGAAGAACTTGCTAGAGAAGCGATACGCATCGCCGAGAAGACACAAAGCACACATCTCTCTCGGTTTATGGCCAACCTGGGAACAATTCTTAATTTGGAAGGTATGATCTAAAAACTTGATAAATTAGAGTTGATTCTTTCACGGGATAGCTAGCCTGCAGACACACTCTCCGTACTTGTGGTGAGGCGTGCACGAAGAACGAGTGACCCGCAAGAGGAAAAGTACGAAAAAAAAATCCTCTCGCGCGTGATCTCCTTCGCACACAAGGTTGCTCAACTGAAGAAAAACGAAGGGGTGTACCTTTCTTTTAAAGACACCATGGCCCGCGCAATTTCTCTGGTGGACTCTTCCCTTTTCCTTACCCTTTCTGATGATTTTTGAAAATAATTTTCTCCCCTCAGGAAATGTAGTGAAAGCTAAGGAAGCTTTGAAGAGTGCGCTGAAACTAGCAAACGAAGCCAAGGACGAAGAAACTAAAGAAATGATTCATAACAGTTTGACTGAGATGGACAGTAGTCCCTCATAATGAATCAAGAATTGTGTCGATTCTGTTAGAAAAGGAGAATTTTATAGAGGTCGAGATGTTACAGTAATGGGACGCTTTTTGACAAACTAGAGCGCTGCTCAAGCAATAGACCACACTTTCTATCCGTTTACCGGCGCGGAATGTCGAAAGAACACTGAAAAAAATTGTAAAAAAAGAGCTAAATGGGTTTTTTACGCCGGTGAACCGATAGAAAGGGCAGTGTGTTTCTATGGTTTACTGGTGCAATAAACGATAGGATTTTGACCAATTAGGGCGCTCGTATTGTAGTCTCTCGTTTATTTAGTAATTTCTAATGGTCAGAGGCAAAGAAAAGTAGGGACGGGAAGGAGTGAACATATCTGCTTTTTGTGCCCGTCTGCCTGTGTTTATTCCGTGACCTACATGAACTAACTAAACATCTAATGGCGTTCGTGACAAGCACGAAACACAAACTGAATCGTTCAACAAATTTGGCTCTTCCAGCCTTAACGCAACATTATGAGAAAATTCAGCAATCTCCCAGTCAAACAAATTGTACAATAATGTATTTTCCAAAGCGTGAGTTGAAGCCTTTTCATTTCCTGGTCTCGAAAGCAGTACCTGAAAAGTAAACAAACACTGAAATGTAAACATTTTCCCATATGTGATCCATACACTAAGATAAAGTACCACGAAAGACTTCAAACATCTGTTTCGAGCGAGGGACAGAAAGAAACATCTGCGTCAACCTTGCCGATTTGAAATCAAGTTCTTACGATTACGCGTTCCGGCTCGGATGTTGAAATAGCAAAAGAATTCTCCTGACAATAGCCAATAATAGCCATGCGAGACGCGCCTTTCTCTGCCCTTAGAGAAATATGTGACGAGTCAGGGAGAGGCTTGCCGGGAATCTGGCTAATACTCAATGACAGACCCTTTGCAGACTGCGAGTGTCTCGCCAGCTGGCGGACGAAGGAACATTTGAACCGAAGCGCTGATCATGAGGGCCTGCACGCAATGTAATGCTCTAATAACCGAACTACGTGAGTACTTATCATAACACAACGTAGCCGCGGTAACGTAACATTACATAACGTAACACAGCACGACAATATTTATTCAAGATTAAGAAACCACAGAAAACTTTTAGGCGTGGTATACCATATACGAGCTTCTCTACAGCTCGAGAAAACATTTTTTACTTTAGGAATGAATTGTTTGAATATTTCTGATTGTTCTAGAAATACCTGTCTTTGGAAAGCAGAAATCCCATTCGCGCTTATCAATTCCCTCTTTCTCGTTTAGATCACACGACTTGAGAAAGCCATAGAGACATGGCTCGAAATCAAGAACGTCAGAAAATACATCTTGAATTTCCGCTGTATCCAGAACGTTATTTTTGTCCCGGTCAATGTACTCAAATTCCCACTGAAATAAAAGAAGGAATGAAAAAATTTCAATAAAGGATATGATGCGAGGCCCTTTTCGGATTGTCTTGAGTAACTTGTA